TTCATTCATTCATTCATTCATTCATTCATTCATTCATTCATTCATTCATTCAATTTATATAGCCACCCATCTCAGACCAGTGACTGTAGTGACTATATAGTCAATAGGCACTCCTTAATTTTTCATTAACAGTAAAATATAAAGTCATTAAAACTTAAATGTTACAGCCCTGATTTATGTAAACCAATATTTTCATATCTTTAACACACTTGCAAAAAGAAATGGATGTGTTTTTGAGGACATATATTGTACATCTTAAGAAATATTTTCAGCATAGCAAATACCAAGGCTGATCCAGGTAAAGGAAGCCATAAAGTAAACGAATTGTACTGTGTTTACTTGAAGTTTCCTTAAAATAAACATAGAAATATTTTAAATTAAATAAATGTGATAATGGATAGCAACATTAATAGGGTTTTTCTCTGCAGATAGTTAGGTTAAGGTATTTAGGATGATTATTACTAAACACTTCAGTAACGGGTCAGCCATAAAAGCAAACGTAATTGCCCAGGATCAGTACCATACAAGAACCCATACTATTATAAGTAGCTTGTGAACAGAAATTTCTAAAGATGAAAAGTTAATTATTTCACACTCGTAAAACAGTAAGAATATATTGGATATTAAAAGGTTCTCCTGTTTAACAGAAGTAAATAGCTCCTATTTTCTTACCCATCAGCTTGGGTTCTTATTTCAAGCACTTTAAACCGCTGTCTTCCCACAGCTTTTACTTTGACAGTTTCAATTCCATATTCCCGTTCTTCCCGATAGGCGTAAATTTCAGCTGTTGTTCCAAAATGTGCTTCTCTTTCAAGTATGTTGCTAAAGAAAAAACACATTAGAAAAACATGTGATAAAAACTGATTATTCAGCTTAGAATTACCTACCATGGAAGTCAGTGATGAGTTCCAGGGTGTTGGTATATATTTCAAAAGACAAGTCTATCCTCCTGAGTTGCTCAGTTTTGTGTCTCTATATGTGCTATTCATTTTACCTGTAGTTGAAGATTCTGATTCATTTACTTACTTGTATTTTATGTCATTTTATTCTATTATTATTGAACTTTTATCCCTGTACTTTTATATTCTATATTCTGTATTTCAATCTTATTCCTTATAGTTATACATACTACCTGTCAATTGATATACAGTATGTATATTTATATTCACTTACTTGTTGCGTATTATATCATTGTTTTCTGGCCTTATGCCTGTTATTTATTTATTTATTTATTTATTAAATTTGTATGCCACCCATCTCCCCCAGAGGGTGAGTCTGGGTAGCTCACAGCTGGAGTAAAACCCAAATACACTTAAAAATATAAATACCCACATTAGTTAGTTAAAAAGTCAAACTACATAAAAGATACTATACATAAAAAGACTAAAAACATTCAAGATGACGGGGGGGGTAGAATCAATTACCCCACAAGCCAATTACAGAGGTGCGAACCCCCATCCGGCCCCCCCAGGCCATCTGGCATAGTCAAGATTTCACGCTCTTCCTGAAGGCCATGAGAGTGGGGGCACACCACACCTCAGATGGTAAGTTGTTCCACAGAACGGGGGCCATAGCAGAAAAGGCCTTCTTCCTAGACCTCACCAGTCGAAATTCCTTGACAAGTTAGTTGAATTGAATTCAAAAGATATGAACATTTATACCATATTAATCTTCCTAATATTATATTTATGAATTGTGCTATGCAGATAATTTTGAGATCATCCCTCAGTTTATAAGTGACAGTTCCCAGCTTCACTTTGCATTTAACTCTGTATTAGGCAGCCATCTATGGAAGAGGGCTATCACTTTAAGGCTCCCCATTACAGAAGGGCGTGTCATATGAAATGGTCTCCTCTGTCAGAATGAGTAATAAAGGAGCAACTTGTAGCACACATCCCCAATATTAGCAGAATCTATTAATCCTTAAGAACTATGATACTGCAGGGCAAGAACTACAAAAATTATTAACTTACACTAACAGTGACAGATATAAATGTCACCAGCAGTGGTCAAAGCCATGGTCTGACAAAAAATTGTGCATGAACCAAAAAACTGCTTACTGTAAATTACAATTACACAAAATCAATGAGAACTTAAGGATACTACAGGAACTTATGAATCAGAAGTAGCATTATAAATAATTGAATACAATAAATACTATGAACAAAAGTTGGACATCCTTGACTCAAGCAATAAGAAATAAAGTTTGGCTCTTCTTTGACGTATCACAGCAGAACATCCTAAAAAAGTCCCTCAGTATTTCCGCTTTAATGTTCAGCAGAGACACTGGATGATACTGCATTACAGCCCTTCAAAATCACAATTATATAAGCTTCACTGAGGGGGTTATATAAGTAACCTTCACTCTGCCCCAAAGCATGGGAGAGATTATTTCTGCAATAAGGACTTTGTAGGTGGGTCACGTTAATATTTAGTCATGCAACACAAGTTCAGATAGTTCCTTAATATTAAATTAAATGGGACAATTCCGGTTCAGACTGAGATCACAATATGTATTCTAGACCTCAAAATTGCAAATGTATTTACATATTTACCTGTATGCAAGAACAGCAAAGGTTCTGTCTCTCTGTATTAAGTTCCGCACCATGCTAACCTCTTGGGGGCGAAAAAGTTGAAGAGGCAATGTTTGCCCAGGAATCAGCATCACCATCACATGGGGTAAAACTGGAATTGTTTGACAGCTATCATCATCATGGACAGTCCTTCCGTGAAATTCTTCCATGTCTGATCCTAAATACTTCCAGTTTTAAAAAAAGGCACAATTAAGTGGCAGGAATATCAGTTTCGTTTGCAATTTATAAATACATTTATAATCCCAGAATGAACTCAGAGAAACACAGTATAAAAATATTGAAACTCGACAGCAGGGTAACCACTATTAGCTTCCACGTTTACATTCATTAGAAGAGAATACACCAAGCAATAACAGAAATATTTTATAAAACAGCTTGTGATTCTCTAAAAGGTTGCATAATAAAACAAATGTAAGTGTACCTAGCCTCAGCGTCTGTTGTTTTAGCACAAGGGAAAAAAAAAAACCCCACACATTCTGGGTTCACTCTGTGTGCAACAGCATGGAATGCACAGAATAATCCAAGATGGGGAACATGTTTGCATATTCAGTTCTCCTGCTTACAGACTCACTTCAATCAAAATATTGTCTGTTTAGCTGCCAAGAGTCTGTGTATGCTTACTTTGGGATATACATGTTATATAAATAAATGAATCCACTTGATAAATAATAATCCCAAGCATGTGCCCAAGCAAAAGGGACAATTGCTAACTATAAACAAAGTAGTTCACCTAAATTATTCAGCTACTAGTATTATGAATTCAGGTACACCAGTTCCAAAGAAATAGATTCTGTTTCAGTTTACAACATGGAACAATAAGCCTACAAAAAGGCAAGCAAATATTCTGTGACAGTCCTATTCACCTACCACATGAGAAGTTGGTAGGCTAGTGTCAAAATTAATGATGTTTGGCTTTTCAGCATCCTTGCTGTCTTGATCTTCAACTTCCATTTCGACATCATCTTCTTCCTCACTCTCGGCTAACAAGTCCAAAACAAGTTTAAAAATATTTTTTAAAACACATGAAAATATCATAGCTCAAGCATTAAACAACACAAAACAGAGTTAGAGCATCTTCTGCACTCTACGCTGAAAACTAATTTAAGTTCTGTTTATAACATGCTACGTGGCTGGAACATCAAGAGGGACACTGTTACTGCATGTTTAGAAATGGAGAAATATGTTAACACAGAAACAGACACTCTTCCTAAGGAGAGTTATCTGATTTTTTTTTCTTTTCTGTTCCTGATGAACCTGCTACAGCCCACACTTGAGAGCAATTTTTGAATTTTGAAAAAATTGCTTCAGTATAGTTAGGATAGTATTAAGCCCAGTATGGTTCACTAATTCCTACATATTTTTATCAAACTGGGTCAGCTTTTATTTCTCGCATAGTGCTAACTGAACAAATAAGTATTTGCTACATTCTATTTAACTATTTCAATACTTGATCTATTAGTGGATGTAACTTTCTAAAATGTAGCATGTCGCCGTTCACTCTTAATACCAAGATATGGCTCATTCTCTACCTCATGATAGCTCTGTTTGGATTCTCTCTCTCTCTCTCTCTTTTTTTTGTTAAACAGCAAGAAAAGAAAGCAGTTGATGAACTTGCACTGCATGTTGGCTAAGGAGCCTAAAGCCTCTGAGGAGGAATGACTCATTTTACCGCAGCGGCACCATGGAAAAAAACCCCAAGAGACTTCAATCTCCTTTCTGTAATATCTGTAAGGTATTTACAGGCCAAACACACTCTTCTCCTGTATTATCTGAAGATCTGAAATGCCTTAAAATCAGCCAATGGCAAAATACAATAGGTTATATTTACTACCATGCAAGGAGGACATGACAGAAAAAAGGAAACAGTATTTTCCCTTTCGGTTTCATTTTTAAGAGTTGCATCAAGCACAGGGCAGATCCATCTCCATTCAACAACGCACTTTCAATCCACGATGCTTGCAACTGGCTCAAATCTATCTAGCTGTTCACATTTTTTTTCTCCTCTTAAGAAATTTCCTTATAAATATAAATAAGGAATATTATAAAGAACTAAGAATATTTCAGGAAATTGGGCTGAAAGCCTGGGTAGTGTAGTGGTTAAGGTACCAGACTAGGAGCAGGGAGACCCAGGTTCTAGTCCTCCTACAGGCAGGGAAGCCAGCTGGGTGACCTTGGGCCAGTTACTCCCCCTCAGCCCAAATCAGCATCAGGCCCTACAACTAGCCAGCTAAAAAGTAAAACCCTCATCACAATATGCATTGATAGCCTTGCTGTGTAAACTCCAGCAAGCTTGGGAAGGCAGGCAGGCAGGCAGACCCAGGACAAAAACTAGAAATAATAACTATATTTCAGGAAAGGCTATTCAACAAAATATCACTATTACTAAATGCAGTTAATATGTGATAATACATCATTCTACTCAGCTTTCTAAGCTGAAACACATAGAATAATTTTGATCGTGGCTTTGTTGCAGTCTCTGTATTCAGTTTATATGAATCACATTATGCTTGTATTTCACAACCAATTTTACATGCAGATTTTCCCCCCATATATTATAATCTACACCACCTGATCTTCTGAATTTAAAACAAAGATGCACATCTTCCTTCTAAGAATTTGCAGCTGGGTTGTCTGTTTCACAACTGCAAGTTGAAAAGCACCCTGGGAACCCACTGCAGGAGTCCGGGAAACTTGCTGAATAGCGCAGTTTAAATTCTTTAGAAATACATGAAATCTGCAAAGTCAGCAGGCACTGAATTATGCAGTGTCAAAATGACACAGATGTGGCCTCATTATGACATCAAGCAACAGTGGTAAATGGAAATAGGACTGTTTTCTCAAAGTACCCAGATGCAAAACAAAGGCCACGCATTCTTCTTGAAGGCAGTAGTAAACTTAACTAATTGAACATCGTATGATGCAATTGTGTCCATTTGGCACTTGCACCAATATGGAATTCAGAGAAAAGAAAAATAAAACAGCAATCACAGAGCCAGGCCAGGATATAGTGATTACCCCATATATAAGCTATTAGCATCTCCAAGCAAAATTCAAGATTCCCACTTCAGTTGGCCCATTTTTCCCCTACTAGCACAACGACACGTGGGAATCTCTATTTTTCAACTTATATCTATACAATATGATGCTGCTTTCTCCTTGCTCATTTTAAAATGCAAAAAATGTTGGTACACCCTACTTTTGAAGGAGGCTAACTAAAGAAGGGTACATGACTCCCTCCCAAAGGAAAAATAGCAGCACCTCCACTGACAAAGATCCTGGGCACACTGCAAGATTGAGTTCTCCATTTGCACAGAAAACTCTTCATGGTTAGAGCAACTCCTCAACCATAGAAACTTGCTCTGCAAATATCTGTTTCTGAAAAGGAATTATTTGCTCAAATATCTGTTTGATGTTAATCAGAGAAAGAAGTGGGTAGGATAAATCCTCAACACTTCCACTGACGTCTTTAAAATGCCCAATTACTTGTTTATACACAGACACCATGTGGAAGTACAGCAAGACACACTTGAGTCAAGCTCAATTCCTGGTGACTACATGAGCATGTCTCTGTAATTTTCTTAGCAGTAATAGGGAAATGGTTTGGTTTGCTATGGCTTTCTTCTGAGATTTTTTTTTGGGGGGGTATCCAAGCCTAGCCCACCACCCTAGGATCTCCTGTCTCCAATACGAGCACAAAGTAAGCACAATTTTGCTTAACTTTTGCAGGAAAAAATTATACAGTCTGAAGAGACCACATAAATCTTCCCTCCACCACTCTTTTTCAGATGAGCCAAGGTTGCCTGGATGCTGCCGACCAGGAAACTTTCAGCCTCTTATAATTTTAATGTTTATAAAAATATCATGAATGATTCCTTATGATCTTATAATGTATTAACCTTCCTATAAGAAACATGTTCTATTTTAAATTCAGTACTCAAGTCCTCCTAAGACTCGGATGCCAACAAAGGAGCACTAGGGCTACACGTAGCCTTCTAAAGCACTAGGTAAAAACCCCCCACATAAAGTCCTGCAAAACTTGCTGAAGAATTCTAATTTTTAATATGGCAAAAGAAGAAAATTAAGTACAAAGTAATTGTTTAACTGCATTTGATTAATTAAAATTAACATTAAATCATATTTGGGTTGTCTTCTCCAAACTTCTCTGTTTGGGCACCACTTACTTTCTCAGTGAAACTACTGCTGCTCTACAATGTAATCCTCGGCCTGAAAAAAACTGTTCACTTCTCAGCCATAACTCCATTCTTTCCCATAACTCCTAAATCGGAACCATGTATTCTACCCCTTATTATTCCTGTATTCCACTAAAAGACTTGCTCAACTAGAAACCTTAATCATGAGAATAGCACTACTATATTATCAATTAATTGCCAAATAGCAAATATCAAGGAAGCGCATCTGCTGTATGTGAGGAAAAAAGCCCTAATTGTTTATTAGTACTCAGACTGGTAACTAAGACAGGAACACCTCTAAGCAATTATGCTAACGCTCTGTAGGACTAAATCTGGTAACTGTTTGTTTGTACAAACTACAGGTAGTTTCCAGTTTAAACGAGTTCCATTTCCAAGGTCTGTCCTTAAGTCGAATGTGTATGTAAGCTGGAACAGTATTATTGTATAATGCTATCTAAGTAGTATTGTGTAATTAACTTAAATCATTGTGTATTTAACTCGAATTTTGCTACAATAGCCTCTGTTCTTAACTATGGATTGTCTGTAAACCAGGTGTTCTTAACCGGGGATTACCTGTATCCAGAAACTGCATGCATGGACCCTAAATTCCATGGAGGAAAAGGAAGAATTTGAATCTAATAAACCTTATAGTCTTTGATGAAATGTGACTTGTACTGTAGTAAGCCAACTATTATGGATGCCTGCTATAGAGACTGTATTTCACTAGTGTTGAATATGGGTTTCTAATATAGCATTAGCCACAATCCCAGGGCAGGGACAGTGGGCAAGTTAAAACTCTAACAGCTTTCAGAAACACTGCCCCACACGAAGTTGGTTGTGAAACTCTGCTAGTAAGATTAAGCTCTAGGGATCATATGGGACTGCCGCCTCTATACCAACTTCCTGCTGCATGGTGGTCCCCCTACCAGAGCTCCTTGAGCCTATTTCTGAGTTGATGCTGAAGTTACCCAAATTAATGGTACTAGAAGATTTTAATGCCATTTCTGGGCATGAAAGCTCATAGTTACCCTGACAACCATGGATCTGATGCAAGTGATTAAGGGATCAACTTACAGTAGTGGTCACTTACTCATTACAGTGGTTTTTATCTCAGGGCATTATCTGGAATTGCGAGATATCACCATCACACCTTCCCATTGTCAAATCACTCCCTGTTAATCCTAGAGTTCTCTGTAACCATTTCTTGTTGCAGGGAGAAAGGATCTATTGGACCAGTCTGTCTCAGGGGCCCAGTGGACTCTTTGGGGTTTCAAAATGAATTCTGGGGTTATTCCTGAGGCTTTGATGCTCATTACTGAACATCACTGATGTTCAGTAAGGTACTCATCGTTGCTTGGAATGAGAGGATATCCATAGCCTTGGACTGAATTGTGCCTGTGCAGCCTCTCTCTGTCCTTGGATCACAGAAAGCTCCTTGATCCTCTACAGAGCACCAGAAGATGAAAAGGCAGAAGAGGAACCTGGAACACTGCCAGAGGAAAACAAGGAATGAATCTGATCAAACATGGGTAAGATCCTTTCTTAAGAACTATCTTGCGGCAATAAGAGTGGCAAAACAATTATTTTTCTACTCCTATTACATGTGCAGTGGCCTTGTTTAGGTTAACCCAATCCTTCCTGGGAAAGAAGAGACCAGAGGAACATTTACAAAGCCTTGGGAAATGCTTCCTTGAGGGAAGGAATTATACTTCCAGCTTTCAAAGAGGCTGTGGCCCATCCCCTTCTGAAGAAACCTTCCCTGGATCCAACAATACTGCACAATTTTCATTT